TAATCAACAGCTCATATATCCATTTCTCTTCTTTATTTCCTCCTCTCTGCGCCTCAGATCAGAAGCCCCTGAGCGTGGAAGTGGGCGAGGCTTCGACGCTGCGGCTGCTGGGAGCGGAGCAGGAGAACGCAGAGCTGAGAAGACGACTGGAGGAGCTGCAGGCCCAGCAGGAGGTCAGAGTTCAGAGGTCGCAAGTTGTGACTAATAGAGAAAAATTTCACCTTACTCAATAACAATAGTCAGGCAGCCTGTGAATTTTTTAAATGATGATCAGTTAATACTGAAAGGGCCCAAAGTGTACCAAGAAAATATCTCCCACCTCTACCGCCTCCAGCCTGATACAAGGCAGGCAGGACCCATGCTTAAATTATGTTTACACCAAATTCTGACGCTACCACCTGATTGCTGCCACAGTTTTTCAGATCTTCTGTTGTCCAATTTTGGTGAACCCATGATCGAACCGTAACCTCAGTTTCCAACTTGTAGCCCAGTGTGACTCAATGTTCAATGTAATGTGCAGTCAGAGATGCTCTTCTGCATATGTTGATTGTAAAAAAGATTTATTTGAGTTACTGTTGCCTTCATATTACCCTGAAGCAGTCTGGCAAATCTCCTCTGACCTCAGATGTAAACAAGGCGTTTTTATCCAGAGACCTCCCGTTCACTCTGTATTTCATCTTTTTCAGACCATTCTTGTTAAACCTTAGAAATGATTGTGTGGGAAAATCCCAGTAAATCAGCAGCTTCTGAAATACTCAGACCAGCCATTCCCCATTCAGAGTCAGTGAAATTACCTTTCTTCCCCATTCTGATGCTCAGCTTGAACCTGGGTGATATATCCTTAAAATCCCGATATTTCATGGAAATGTGCTACTAGGATTTTTCTCACAATTTAAAAAATACTGAACAGCCTTTTATTGACGATTGCAGTTTGCAGCAGGTCATCTGCATGGTGAGTCGCGCAGCAGTGTGAATTGCTATATTCTGCTATGATATTTACATTAATCAGCAGCTTTAACTTTGTAGTTGTAACAATGTAACTTTGCTCGAGTGGTCACGGTAATGCACACAGACAGAAGAGAAATGACAACTGGATAACATGCAAATCAGGTTTTATATATAGCTTTCATTTCCCTTGCGTGTCTTGTTATTCATATGATCATTATGTTGGGAAAAAATATTTTTAATTAAGAATGTTTAATTACGATACTAGCAGGCCTGCCATCTCTGAATATATCTGAGTTGTTAAAGATGCAAATGAAGCTGGAAAAACAGGATGCAACAAATGAAGGCATTAAAGACACATCTCCCCTCGCTGCAGGCTGATTCTCCAGATGCAAAGGATGAGTTGGCCTGCCTGGAGATGAAACATCAGGAAACATTTAGGGAGGTGAGCACAGAGCAAACTGAAGGCTTTACCAAACAGTTACTGTTCTAACAATCATCTTTTCTTTTTTTTTACCGTCACATTGTTGACTGGTAGTAAATTGTTCTGACGCTAATGCATTTATAAGTAATATTGCTTTTTTAGCCAATGTAAAAACCCTTCTCTGCCACATGTATTATGTAGCCATAGATAATACATTCATGGCATGTGTGAGCAGCTTTGTGTTGTAGTGGAGCAGAATTCTGGTGCTGAATCAATTTGTTTTTATTTATCATCAGCAGAAAATTAGCTGCAGTATTCGACATTTTTACAAAAATAATGGCTCACTTGTGTTTGAAATGGATTGCTCGCAGACTCTACAACCCTCCTTCAGTGTTTTTCTTTTTGATTGTTTTTTTTTTTTATTATTTCTACTCATTGTTTCCATCCTCC